TTCAGATAACTTCTTCAGGTCATTTTGAAGTTCTAAGCTATCACTCTTACATCGTATCGTTCTCCATATCTTGACATCGTCAGCATATAGCAAGACCGATGATGATAGGAGACAAGGAAGATCATTTACATATAAGAGGAATAGCACTGGCCCCAAAACTGTACCCTGGGGCACTCCACTAAGCACAGTTTCCCAGCTAGATAACTTTGAGTTCACCCTTACTCTTTGTTGACGCCCAACTAAGAAGTCTTTTATCCACATCAATAAATTACCTCCAATCCCAACTTTTCTTAACTTATATAACAGCCGGTTGTGCGGAACTTTATCAAAAGCTTTACTGAAATCAATGAAGGCGACGTCTACAGGTAGCTTTTGGTCCTTAAGAGCACACCAGCTTTCACGAGCCACTAATAAGTTAGTGAGACAAGAATAACCTATTCTGAAGCCATGCTGCTTCTCCGAGAGGATCCGGTTTTTATCGAGATACTTAAACAGCTCCTTCCGAATAATCTTTTCTAATATTTTAACAACCACACTAGTTAGGCTAACGGGGCGGTAGTTCTCAGGTTTGTGTTTCGTGCCTGTTTTGAAGACAGGACTTACTATGGCGTTTTTCCAATCTTTCGGTAAGCGACCCTGCGTAACGGATAGGTTAAAGCATGTACTTAAAGGGTTCGCAACGAAGTTAGATAATTCCTTCAGTAGCCTAGGATGTAATTCATCGGGCCCCGTGGATTTACCTATGTCAAGCTTATTTAGCAGACCAAAGACATCGAGTTCTTTGATGGTCACGCTATCCAGTGTATGTATGGGGGGATCTGTATACGCTGACGAGAAGGGCGCTTCTATGGTATACACGTTGCTAAAGTAGTTCGAGAACGCTTGAGCCTTACCAAAGTCGTCCTCCACTAATGATGAAGCAGTACTGTCTCCCCATAGAGCAGGAATATTTCCTTTTCTCCTTGTCCTTTGGTTTATATAGGAATACAAGCGTTTAGGACATTCTATGGATTCCTTAACAAGTTTTTCTTCGTACAATTTTCTAGACTTACGGAGGGTCGAGGCACAAGTGTTCCGAGCCTTTCGATACTGAGATTTTGACTCATCAGTCCCCAGTAACCTAAATCTATCCCACGTTTTCCTTTTCTTACGGAGAAGGATACGGACCTTTCTACTGAACCATGGCGGTGAGTTTTTCGGCCCCTTTGGTATAGTCCAAGGGATGTGAGGTGTGGTAACTTTTAAGTATGATTTTCGAAATGCGTCCCAGGCCGTTTCAATGGAGGACTCTGGGTCTATTGTCCAATCTATTAACGATGCTGAGTGCATGATGTCTGGTATGTTTGCTTTCCAGACGTTGGGTCTGGACTGGACTGACGCGTCCTCATGACTGGCAGTTATATGGAAGTCGAAAGTTAAAACTGCGTGGTCACTTTTACCTAAGGGTGGCATATGATGGAGGTTCGCAACATCATCCTCATAGTGAGTCAGTATAAGATCTAATAAGGATGATTCAGTGTCCGGATCGTGCCTTGTCGCTTCTTTCACATGTTGCACTAGAGCACATGTGATAACCCCATCAACTAGTTCCTGCTCGAAAGAATTCTCCGACGATTTAGTTCGCAGATTTTCCCAGTCTACCATAGGTGCATTAAAGTCCCCTAGGATTAGACATCGACCACTTTGGGACCAAGTATTGAGACTCCTTAACAGGATCTCATTTGCCTCACAGCTTGGACTGCGATAGACCAAACCAATCAGCAGCTCTTGTCCCTTAAATTTTAAGCGAAGATTAACTAATTCACACGTCCCACTCTCATGAGATACACTATCGATAATGGTAAATGGGATAGCATTCCTAATGAATAGAGCTACTCCCCCTCCTTTGCGCTTTTGTGTTCTGTCGGCCCTTATTAACGTAAAGCCCTCGAAATCAAGTTCTATACTATCTATAGCCTGTGTCAGCCAGGTTTCTGTTACTGCGATTATATCTGGCTTTGTAGAGTCAATCTGTACACCTAGTTCCGATCGCTTATTAAGTAAGCTTCGTGCATTGGTGTAACAGATCCGAAGCCTGTTTTAGTGCCTTCGTGCTTCACCCAGAGTGGCTTCGGCATCATTCTCTGTCGAAGTCTTACAACCCGAAAATTTACAATTTTCAGGTCCTTTTCGCCAGCGTCTAACCTATGTTGTAGTTCTTTCTCGGCTTCCCGTCTTTTAACACGGTCTGCCAACGGTAGGTCCTTTCGGATAAAGACTCCCGAACCCTTTAATTTGTGTCCATTTTGTAAAATTAGGTCACGTTCGTTTGAAGAGCCGAATACTACTTTAAGCAGTCTGGAATGATTTGGTTTCGAGTCCGTTAGACTCCCTAGTCTATACACCTTTAGCAAGGTGACCCCAGTCATATTTTGAGGCATGAGTTGATTAAGCAGCTGCCTAATCAGTACAATGTCATGCTCAAAACGAGCTTTAGGTTCAGAGCTATCGCTCTCCTTAATTCTATGAAAAATAGCTGATCTGTCGCTATGATCAGCTTTCGATTTTTCAACCACTTTTACGGGGGCAGGTTTCCCTTTTATGTCAATACTTTTCTTCCTTACAACCTTTACCCATTCGTTAACGCTGCTGGTAGAAGCAGTAGCAGTTGCGTCAAAACTAGTGTTGGGTTTTGGGGGGTTGTCGACGACCTGAGGGGTCGTGTTATGTTTACCAGTCGAAACCGATCGAGCCTTGCGATTGCGGCCCCTAGGTGTTTCCTGTTGGATCCCATCTGGGAGACGGGGAACAGAAGACCCTGCTTTTCTTGAGCTTTTTTTTAAGGCAGACCCCTTTGGATACTGCTTTTCCTTCTTCGACGGGCGTGAGTCATCTATCACCGGACTCACCTTAGTTTCCTTCACATTGATTTGCGTGTCAACAGATCGAGTGCTGTTTGACGCGTTCCGACTATGCTTGTTGAAACACTTCTTGGCAGCATCAACCAGTGAGATAGCCTCGGTTAACAAGCTGTTTGCATCCGAGCAGCACTGTTGACAAAGCCACACACAACCCTTCTTACTGAACCGTTTGAAAGCAGCAGGCGTTAAGTTCGTGCAAACTTCGTGGTACCAGCCTTTGCACTCGTCGCACTGCATGCCGCTTTCAACAGGATAACGACAACCCGGACGTTGGCAACTGCTTTTTTTTACACTGTCCGGTCATTTAGGAGGGGTTTTTTCAATATGCGATGATACCCAGAAACAAAAAAATTATCAATGACCAAAAAAGTGAAGAGCTGTAGATTGCTAGGACCAAAAGTACTAACAGATACAGTTGAAAAAGTGGTACTAAAGAGTACCAACGACAAAACAGTAAAAACGATACTTTAGTCGAATACTTTAACTGAAATAAATTCAATTAAAGTGAAAAACAGTAGTCTTGATACGTAATAAACGATCAAAACAATGAAATTTACTCAGCGAGGAAAAATACCACTGTCCTTTTTAAATAGCGCGGCTAAGGCAAATCTTTTTTTGTTTATGGGATTCAGAATGTCGACAATGCTCAGTGAATTTTCCTAGGCACCCTAGAGTGTCTACCACAAAGATAGCTCGTTTTTAGAGAATGGTTAAAAGAGCTAAAACTCTCAGTATTGATATTCTACCATCAAAAATTAAATGTTCAGTTTACTTAAATGAGTTCAGTATTCAGACTTGTTGAACATCTTGTTTTGTTAAAAAAAGTTTCATTATTCTAGGCAAAGTGGAGGAGAGAAGTCAGCTGCTTTCATTGGACGTTTTCATGTACTGGAAACATCTGGAAATTTCAATGGTGTATAACGCTTTAAAGAACGGTAGTTCTGGGCCACCTTCAGAAATAATTGGAGGTGTGAGTTGGTAAAGTGGTTGTCTATGGCCTTGTGGAAATTCTTTATAATAATAATAGGTAGAGTTTTATATTTTTGTTACGAACTACACTATTCGAGACAACTAGTAATTCCACAGTCTATAGTCTGTGGTGTCTTTGGCATAGTTCATAAAAACTTGGGAAAAGGAGGCCAAATAAAATGTTGGAGGCAGTCAAACGTAAATATTGGTGGCCAAAACAAAGGGAAATCATACAGAATTGTGTCAGAGCTTGAAAAATTTAACAAATGACCAAGTGCTCAAAAGACAACCCACACACACCCTTACCATTTGTGAAATCAGGTTACCTCGACAATATAGTGGGAATCGATATTATTGGGACATTACGAGAAACCAACAGGAAAAACAATAACATTCTGATTATGGTTAATCACTTTACGAATTAATACGAGACAATTCCCCTAAGTAGTATAGATGCTCAAACTGTCTACCGGACATACACCTAATTTGTTATAGATAAAAAGAGATGTGAGGCCTCCAGCTGAATTGTTGACAAAACTAATGCATCAAAAACCTTTATTGGAGTGAGACACTGTCGTGAAGCTTTGAGGGGATGTTTCGAAGTGTCATGATATGGCTTGAGTACAATTAGGTGTGACGCAAAAGCATCAGAAAAAGTACTACAATAAGAAGACTTATGGAATAATCTTAAAACCAGGAGAAAAAGTATGTTTAAAACCAGACGAATCACAGGCGGGGACACTTACTAAACTACATAATGAATAGGTCCTTATGAAGTAACTAGAATCTTAACAAAATCTACGTGTGAAATCAAAGACATCAAAGGCGACTCTTGGTACCTATGGTCGTTCATTATGATTGCCTAAAACCGGCGTATGACTACATAGAATATATGATTAACCAAAGTTTGCACCTAAGTTAATTTTTAAAAAGTGATTTACGAATACGTTCTGTTTAATTTGTTACAGATCCCAAAGTGAGGGAGGAAAATACTTAGTATCCTGGTGTTATTTTATATTACGTTTTGTGTCCCGAACTGTTGCACAGTCCGGCATTCCTGTCAAATCACTGATTCTGTGTTCCTATTGAAATATTATCGTACTCTTTTTGGATTGTCGTTTCTTTTCCTACTTCGAAAAAGACTTTGGAAGGAAAACCAATTTCTTTTGTGGAGATTATTGAAAGCCATCGAGGACAAAGTTTAAAGGAGTCAGAAGCAGTGTAATATTAACAACATGGTAATATAAAAACATCTGACCTAATATTATTGATTAATTAGTTGTATCGGTATCTTTAATTGAGAATTTGCAGTCAGTTGGAAGCTAAATGAACATAGGATCTCGTCGGGGGGTTTACTCCAATGGCAATCCCAGCCAACCGATGGAGCTGCTCATTACCAGGCTTTGGCTATTTCAAACCAGCCTTCATTTTATTTCTCGCTTACATCAAGTAGCTTACCTTGTCATAGACTCTTGATCACTTTAATATCAGTAGCTTATTTATTTAACCTGATTTCCATACTAACTACCTGGGTTTTCAGTATGTTAGGAAAAGAATCGTTTCTTTGCAATAAAGCAAAGTTACTTATTTTAGAGGATAATACTAGGGCTAACCTATACAGTTATTTCTCCTTAAAGTAATTTAGTTGTAGGAGCTACATCGTCCGCCAAAGGTGTCTGACAACCCCAGAGATACCTCTGGAGTTCATAATATTATGATCCAGCAGATTAAAAGCTAAAACTTTGAGAAAAGTTTTGACGAAGTCTAATTTTATAGTTCCGGCCAAACGCATCGGTTTATTTCAGAAAGCGTGTAGATAAAGAGCGAGATCACGTTTTAGTTGAATACAAAAAGTACTGCAATATGCACAATTCGAATTGGTCTACAAACACTAATTGTAGACACATCATCGGTTTGTGTTAATTACGATGAAATTTATTTGTTACCAGCTGTATGATCTCTCACGTACGACCTGAGCATCGCATGCGCTTAGGTCTACATGTAAATAGATTTTGTCGTTCTAAACCAGGAAAATAGGCCTCATTGATTAAAACTCCAGGTTCATAGTATTAACTAAAGCTTAGTTTTTCATTCAGGTTTTATTTGCAGTTGTAGTGACTCTCCATTCGGCTGTTTGTGTAGTGGAATCTAGTTTTTTAAGGTTTACATGGTACAGGTGCAGCGATAATTTTAAACTTGAAATTTCTTGAATTGATTTGAATATTCTTTATGCTGTCCACTTAAACTTATGTGATGAAAACCTTAGAAAAACTAGCAAATGCTTTTTCAGAAGGAGGTTTTGTAGAGATTTTAGTAATTTAATAGTTGAATTCATGAGTCAATTGAAGCTAGAGGACCATGGAAAACCTGGAAGCACTGGAAGGCCGTTTCGTCATAGTATGGTACTCCCCCGAAAGGTCCTGGATTCGAATCCTGCGGGCGGGATCGTGGATGCGTACCGATAGGGAGCCCCATATTAGGACGTAACCGCTGCCAGTGCTCCCAGGTTTTCCATGGTGGTCTAGCTTTAACTGACTCATGAATTCAACTATTAAAATACTTTTTCGTTTATTGCCCTGGCATTTCAGTGAATTGATTCTAGTTCTAGCAAAATGAAAATTTAGTCCTTTTAAAATCTCCCAAGTATTTTGTACAAGGAAAAGGTACATATCCAGTGTTTTCATTAAACACCTCCACTCCCGACTAGAATATTTAGTTCAAATATCAAGACTTTTACATAACACCCATAAGTATCTAGATTTATCTGATAATTAATATATTTCACATACTACATGGTAAACATATCACAATATGTTTGTGATTACTTTTCCCGACTTCTGTTATACGTACTAATAAAGTTTCTGAATCAATAGAAAGAATTAGCTTTAAATGTCTTAAACCAGGCTATCCTCTGGTAAGATGACAATGACTTCTTACAATCAATCTGCTTTTCGTCATTTGCTTGAGCGAGCTACCTACTTGGACCACTATTTTCTCAAACCTAGTATTAGATGTACCTGTTATGACAAACAAGTTAGTGATTTAATTATATCACAAGTAATATAGGCTTCGTAACCTTTTATTTTCGGTTTGCTTGTGTACCAAGTGTTAAGAGTCAAGTGTAGTTAGAAAATTCCGTAGGGTATCAATCACCAAACATCTTAGTTAAGTATTTCTGTATATTAATTGAATAAATACATCACTTTCCTCTTTTCTAGATTCACTCGAACTTTTTTTGTGTTAACGACTAGCTTTGCTTCTCAATGGTCACTAGTCGACTGTATTTTGTATTGTTTGTTTGCATTTCGAGTGCATTTACTTCTGGTAAGCAAATTTATGTTTTACAGTTGTTTTTAACTACATATTAACTGGTTTTAAATTTAACAGAGAAAAGCAGCAATAATCATTAAAACACATTTTGGTGTAGCAATTACAAACAAAATATTACTAGTACTGAATACTTAATCGGAGAGACTATGATTTATGGACGAACAAATCAAATTTAGGATAACAGGTATTGGATTTTGGCGCGAAATTTACCCTTCCATTCGTCTAAATAGCGTCTTAGCATTTTAGCTGATGTCAGTTCGTGATGAAAACCATAAATTTAAATCCTAACCTTTACTATCAACTGTAAATCACTATCTTTATTCCTCAAACTGCTTTATAGCCTTCATTCAGCCTTATTAAGTAGGTAGACACTCTCAAGATCACGTTGGCGTCACTCAAAGGTCGTCCATAAACTATAGTCTCATCACTTAATCCGTCAAAACAATAAGTTGCCTATTTTCCTTGACTACATTTGGTTATACATGGGGAATTGTGCTTTTGACAGAATTAGTGTATACAATAACCCAGCCATTTAAAAAATTCTAGAAAACAACTAGTTCTACCCTAAAACATATTTTCCCATATTTATTCACTTGCTTTTGTTAGTGAAAATTTCATTATTCCGATGAAGAATCTATATCAACTGAAGAGGCTGAGACTTGTTAAATGTGGGCGAACACTTCTTACGTCGACACATAATGTTTTCTGATGTATTAATAGTTTCCCAAGGAACTTAGAGGCTTACAAACCAAAATGTGGTATTTACCCATGAAGTTATTGACAATTAATGTGATCCATGCTTTTCTGGTTACAGTTCTCATGCGTATCACGGCCAGTGCTTGAAGACTGATTAACATGATTCAGAATCGGTCACGATAGCATAAATGCATCCACTCTTTACTTTCCTTTAAATGTAAAGTTTCAAACTATTTTATATCTTTTATTCCGTGACTTCATCGATTTTCCTTCAATCAAATTGTCAGTGCCTAATTTTTTATCACTAAAACTACTGCTTCTATCGCTTGTTTATTCATCTTGATAATTTAATCTTTCTGTTTTAACGTGATGTGGTGATTTGAACAGATGGATATATGTAACGGGTTCTATTTTGTTTATGAGTGAGTGACCGACTTTCCAACCAGGATATTTTTACAACACCTCAAATATTATACATTTATTCTGAGTATTCAGCTAACAGAGTATGTTCAGAAAATTATAGAATATGTGACCGTTTCTTTGAAAGATGTCTTCAAGAATCCCATTATTTAATAAGTTCTTATTATATACGTGTTTTAACTTGTAATTCAAGCACCAACTGCTTATAATCCTAAAAAAAAACGTTTTGACATGTTCAATATCCAAATGATTTAACATTAATTAATATAACTTGAAAATAGATTATTTCCATACATAGTGTTATAACTGTTTTGATTGTATCAATCTTATTTATGTAGGATTAACATTTGGATTTTCATCAGCAACTACACTTCAAATTTATTTCGACTCTACTTGGATAGCAGTTTTTGCTGGTTTATTAAATGCAGGTGGAATAATTGGATCTTTGTGGTCAACGTGGCTTATTCGTCATTATGGACATTGTCTTACATTATTGCTTTCTTATGGTCTATCTGTCATAGGATGGGTGTTACTGTATTTTTCATCGTCAGCTGCCTACGAACGATATTCACCAATTGTTCAATTAGTATTAGGACGTCTAATAACCGGTTTAGGATGTGGATTAACTTTATCTACTAATGTAATTTATATCTATGAGATAATTCCATCGTCATGGAAAGTATTGATGGGATCATTGTTTCAAGTTGGTATAACATGCGGAATTGTTGCTGATTATGCACTTGCAATTTTTTTAAACTGGGATACTATTTCTTTGGTTTTCGCTTTGGTTATTTCATTTGTTGCCGTTTTAACTTATATGTTACCCGAATCTTCTGAATGGTGCGTTAAAATGGGTAATTTGCAATCAGCTGAAGCATCTCATTATTGGTTGCATGGAAACGTAAGTGACTGTGAGGTCTACAAATTTGTTTAAAATAAATAATGTTCTAAAAATATTATAATTACAGTGTAATGAATAAAGTTTGATTGTATGCATCTCATAATTGACAGTATTACACTTTTGTGCAACTGTTTACTTGGTTTTTTGGCGTCTATTAAGTAAACCATAATGGACAAATATTTTTGAGATGCAATTATAACCATGAAATTATTGATCAAATAATGACTTCATTGTTGAGTATCTAGTTTTCTTCGAGCATCTCGTGTTGAGATAGAGATCATCTAATGTTATCGATGAATGAAAACCTAACCATTACAATAGTTCTTGTCTCTATACTCATGCAATCCAAAGCGTATAGTCGAAAAAAGTTTGCATTATTAACTTATTCCCGGGTACCTGGGTATGAGTGGCGCTCCAAGTGTAAGGGGGCCAGTAATACTCACCCAGCTGCTCAAAATCGAATAGTTGGTGATGAGTATAGTCAGCCAATAACAAAGTCTGAAACTGTTTACTGGATTGTTTTCTTTATTCTCTCTCTCTCTCTGTAAAGGTGTTAGTTTCCTTTAAGGGTCTACTATTTTCTGTAATTTCAACTTTATCTATCATAAAAGTTATTTGCGCAAACGCTGGCGTAAAACGGAATAAAGCTAAAGAGAATCATATGTAATTGAATCTGTGAATTTAGTTACCAAAGTATATTTCGAAAAAGCTTTCAAAGTTAATATATATATATAATCTTAATTATATTTATGGGCATAGTTTAGCATTTAATGTGGTTGCTATTTTAGTTATACACATTTAAAATGGTTTAGTTAATGTTTGAAATATCACGGAAGTTCATAGTTAATCTCTAAAATAAGAAAAAAAAACTGATGTTATTGTCAAATTTTTTTATATTTCAATTTAGGAGATACCTTTTAAACAAAATGGGAATAATTTAATGATCAATGGAAATGTTCCTCATGATATATCAGATCTTAGCACAAAGTCATACACTGGTTCTTTTCATGTATTGAATGATTCAAAGCCTAAGCTTCGTACGATTTTTATATTAATAACATTTCAACAATTAACAGGGATGAATGCTATAATCTACTTTGCTGAATCGGTTTGCCTATTTGGTGGGCTAGTATCATATCAATGTGGATTCAACACGGGATTGTGTCTATTTATTTCTAGTATTGTATCAGTATTTGTGGTTAGAAAATTCTCCTGGAAAAAGCTACTACTAGTTGGTGCTGTAATTCTGGCTTTATCCCATCTATGGTTCTCACTAACGGTATCAGTGAGTGACCAGTTTATAGAATATAATGTCGTTCTTTTTTATTTATTATTTATGATCTTTAAGAAATCTTTGTCATAGAGTAACAGTGGTACTGTCAAATTAATCAAGTTGTTAGTTAACGTAGTGGATCTAGTTAAATATCGTCAGAATTTAGTCCTTTCATTTTTTCTGATATCCATGATATTATTGCGTAAACGAGTTTTCTTATTATGAACTAAGATAGATAGTGGCTAGCAGCAGGATCCAGGATGTTCGTTTCGTTCTATTCAGAACTCGTCATCTGGATTCACTTGTATCCCGAGGTTGATGTTCACTCCGGGACTCGAATTCAGTGCCGCTTGCTTTAAATATTGTCGCATTATCCACTTAGCTACCGATTTCAGATAGCCACTAGTTTGTGCAAGTACATCCAGCTGACGAGTCAAAAATGGGACGAAACACTTTCCAGCTACCATCCGTTTTTGCTTAGAATACTTGTGACTTAATGGCAATATAGAAGCAAACCCAAACGACTAATCAATTTTAGTCCTAAAAATCAATGAAAAGATTCAAATAACCAATACAAATAAAGTCTTCTCATTATTCATACGTAAATATACCATACTGGCGGTGGGGTTTGGAAGCGAAATATGCCTACGGATACATTACATCCAGTATTAATGTACAAGGATAATAATGTTAAGCATAGAAGGAAAAGAAATATTGGTCTACTTGACTTTATTCTGCATTAGTCATACACTTTTGAGAAGTTGAGGAGAACATGTGAAAATTCTTGAGTCGTACTTATCCTTGATTTATGTATATGTGAACATATAATTCTTCATCAGACATGCTAGAAATTATTTAATACATCTGTGGTATATGCTATTTATGTTGACGAATATAAGCAGTATGTAGCGGTAACTGGAAGTGAAATGTTTGCCAGCAAAAGATTGAATTGAAAAGAACAGGAATAGAAACAGAGAGCAAAAGGAATAATGATCGAATTGGAAGAATCATGAAGTATGTAAAGGACAACTGAAGGAAGACGTGCAAATAATGTATCCAATGTATGATTTTCAAATTCTCCAAACCACTGTGTAATTTTAGTTTTCCTCACCTGCGTTTTCGTGCACTTCACATCTAACATCCCCTTTTGATCCTCTGTTAGAATAAATCGATTACCAACAAGAGAGTATAACCTTTAATAAAATGTCCTTTTCTTCAGTCAAATAAACGTGGATGCAAGTTTCAACGGAAATCAGTGTCGGGTGTGTGGCAGTTGTTTACCGAAGACAATGGAAGATTGTCGCGCAGTATTATGAACCAGTTGAAGTTAGACATTAACACCATTGAATACCACCGATTCAGTGGTCTAGAGACTAAGCGTTCGCTCGCGAGACTGAAGGCCCTGGGTTTGAGTACCATGCTCGTGGTCGTGTATGCGCACTACTGAGGAGCCCCATGCCAGGACGAAACGGCCTTCCGGTACTTTCAGGTTTTCGATTGTGGTCCAACATTGACCGATTCATGATCTCAATCAAAACTCAATAATCTTCACAACCCTATACTGAAATTAAGTAATCGAATAGTTTTGAGGAAGCATATTTTACATTGTTTTCTATATTTTACTATTCTGACTTATTTACTGAAGGTTCCTTCTCTTTACCACAGTAATCAAATTTTGTCGATATAAAAATGTACAACGAATATCGTTCGTAATAGATAACTTTCATTCAGAAAATAATGATCTAGTCTAATGTTCCCGTATTTTTTGATACAATATGATTGTAAAATTCTTATTAATTACGATTGCTGTCACATAGCCAATGTCTTTCTATTTCATTCAGTGAGAAATATTTAACTATCGACTTAAAATGGACAATTTGAAAATATTTCTTAAGAGTCATATATATAAGTTAGTGTACATATGTTTCTTCATTTAATTAACGAAATAAACTTCCTCCCTCACTCTTCATCTTTTCTCTCTCAAGTGATCAAGTTTTTATGTATCAGTATCAGCTGCTAGACATTGTGTCACAAGAGTGGGGAGTTGAATTGGTGCCCAAACATATCAGGTTTTACGTTGCTTGTATCTGAATGACTGATTTTAAGTAATATAGTCTGTTTATTCAACTAAGCTGGGAATAAGGATCTATTTATAACACTAATCTTTTTGAATAGGAAAGTTTTGACCATCACACTATGGCCTAGCTATCTAAAGATGTATAGTCCTCATCGCGAGGTCTGGAGTTTCTAGGTTTTAAATCGTGTAGAGTTTTAGGTATGAACTGCATCGAAACACCTATCTAATTATCCTTGGCTTTATTCAGATCTCTAGTTGGCGTCGATTTTTCATGACAACTTTTTTTAAACTATCCGAATCTCCTCAAAACATCTAAGTAAATTATATATCCAACCTTCAGAAGGCCCCCAAATGCCCTGGTATGGCTGAGAGTGAGATGGGCCCGCCCTCCCTTTCGAAATGCTCTCACACGGCCACGCGTATACAGTCTCTGTCAGGGAAGTCCTAATCACTGCCTTCTCTCACCATGGGTGTTGTTTACGAAAATGAGAGGACGAAAAGCGAATGTCCGGCGCTTTAACCGGATTCCAAACCAATTGTGCACATGGGCTCCAGTATCCTGCGGGAACAAATGGCGTATGAACTAATCGTTGGTCACCGGCTACCATGGGACTGCATCTTCTCACGATGGTCCACTGCCGTGTGGATCAAACCTTTAGGTCGAAGTCTCGGGGTGTGGACCCCTAAGAAAACCCCCTGCTTCGGTGTGGGCACCGGGCAGTATCACAGCCCTCACACAAATCTAATGTGCATATCTACTTGGTGCCTCGTACCATTGCTTATGTGTTTAATTAAATAAATAAAGAACTTTCAGAAGAGACTCTGATATTAACTTCTATGAGCCAAACATTCATCTAAAAAATCATAGCAGTCGGTATAAGTTGATGATTTCTGAAATTACTGTATTTCTTCTAAACATAAACAGTTCAAATCTTAAATAACAACATCATATGATAACCAGAGAATCGTTCAATTCTTAAATTTTCATGATCATTCACCTTTCTTCATGTGTACTATATACCTTTCCAATGAAATAAACTTAAATTTTACTTAATCATTCCATTTTCCTTTCTTTTCTTTTTTTTAAAAAATTCATTTATAGCAAACTGAAACTCCAATGTCTTCAATGCATCAAGTTTATTTAAATGTATTGGTTATAACTTTTACATGTAGTTGGGGTCCATTACCATTATTAATAGCATTAGAATCATTTCCAATTATTAATCGAAATTATGTTATTAAATCATCTTTAACAGTTGGTTGGACAGTTTGTTGTTTTGTTACATTTATATTTGAACCATTTATATTATGGACAAGTGTATCAGTTTTATTCGGTATATTCTCATTATGTTGTTTATTATCTTGTGTTTATGTTTATTTTCATATTCCTGATATGAAATCAATGAACACCACCTAATATGTGTTTACCTTTTCTTGGTTAATATCATACTAATAATGATCATAATAATAATAATAATAATAATAATAATAATAATAATAATAATACACATATTTAAAGTGAAAATTTTCACTGATATATATATATATATATATATGAACACTTCACTGTAGTTTTGTTCATTTATTATGTTGGTTAACCGTGACAACAATTATTTTATTGATTGTACTGTAGTGTTGGTTACTATTATTGTCAAGCCCAAATAACTTATTCTAGCTCTTGGACAAACTAATTTATCTATTCTTCTTTGAGTCACATTTTAACTTTGCTAATTATTTACTTATTACAACCCTGCCTGTTTTTATATGAGCACATATGTGTGTACACACATCTTATCCTATATTCATCACATGTCTGTAACTTATTTTTGTTGGACTATAAAAATATCGATTACCGCTTGGTAAAAAGGGAGTTGACAAATACGCCTTCTCCACTGCGTGTCCTTTCGTTTCATCCCACTCATTTCCTGTTCACATCAGTGAGTGTACAAAATACATGTATTTAACAATCTATCCTCGTATTCGACTTATTTAATTCCGTTATTTAAGTTGATAGTTATATACGAGACTAGTTAGGATGTATATATTTCGGCAGTAATCATTCAATAACGATTATCTGTCCGATCTAACTAGAGTCAGATCCTAGGTCACTAAAGTACACAAGTTTTCCTCGTATCTAAACTGATGAAACTCCTTTCTTCGAAATAGAAAATTTATCAATTATATATCTCTCTCCCTGTTTCTCTTTACACTTTTTACAACTAATCTCTGAATTGATATTATATTCACTTCATTATCTGCATATAAATTTAATAGAGTATATATCATGGTACTTAGTTAAGTCACAGTAATTGTATTTTATATATTCATCATCTTGGCAGTTATTCTAGTGCAAGTTCTTTTAAATAAAACATGAGTAATACATAAGTAAATAATTAATTTTAAATTTTTCACTACTGTTATATCCTAGTGAAGATTAAATTACAGGTAACTTCCGAGGACTATTAATGGACTAATATTCTTATTGTATAATTATTCAGTAGTTAGAATATGTATATTTATATTCCCCTTATTATAAGCTTCATTTTGACCTATAATTTATTATACGATTTACTGTCCCTAAAGTATGCTCAGTTTATCAACTACTGCCTCCCACGTTCACAGCCACTTTTTGGCTTTATTGTGTACACATGTTATTTCCTATTTTATAGTGCGTTGCGATCTTTTTGTTTGATTTATAAACACAGTATGTTTGAAATATATGATTCGCATATTGGAAGCTGGTATTGTTGTTCTGGACTCAAGTGGACGGGTTAGGCGGACATAGGACCAATAAGGACGCTAGGCTGCTCATACCGGTTGAACGTCATTGGTTTGGTACTGTGCGAAGATTGTATAAGTCGTATTTTGACTGGTGGATAAATCATGTGGTAAAAAGCCGAACGTAAAGTCTTAACACTACATTATCATTAAATAACTAAAAATAGATTATAAAAATATATGTACACTGTCACTAGTACTACTACTACAACTTAATCTTCAATTTTTAACTGCATGGTAACAATGTAAATAGGAAATGAACATCTAATTTGTAAGTTTTTTCCTAAACTAAGAAGAAAGATTGTAACACATACGGCAAAGAGGGACTGTAACTAGCCCTAACACATGAATTTCAGAATTATTCAAGAATGGTAAGCTGACATTATATGTTGGATTGATTGATTCTTGAGTCAAAGTTTATAAGTTACATATCATCTCATATGACTGGTTGTTATTAGTCCAATCTACAAGGAAGAAAGAAAATCATCTTGAAAAAAACTCACTTTGGATGCCGTTATTTCAAAATTCTTAACGTCTTTAGTCCTAAAAGTATTAAACTTGAATAATTCAAGATGGTTTCGTGACTTATCTTAGTCAGTCAGCTACAACGTAGGACCAGGCACATATGTGCATCGGTCCAGGTTGCCATACCGCATCAGCACAACAAGATGAACACCGGATTCATAGCAGTGGTTAGGTCAAAGGTAGTAATATGTAAGAGAAAGATTGCATATAGAGATATAGTACAAGAAGAAAGAATTGGTTCGTAGAAGGAAAGATATGAAGCGATTTTAATCTCTTAGTTTAAGGGAAGACAGGGAGTGTATACACCGACGCCATTGTGATCGATTCTGAGCCATGTCACCAAGAGTCTCCAACCATTGGTTACGATAGTCACGCGGACCCCAACCAAGTAGTCTGCATCTACCAACATGGCTCAGACTAGAAGTTAGTGACCTCAAGCACTGATGCCACGTTTTGGTTTGGCCGCCCCTAACTTTCTTCCAACCATTTCCAATACCGGATAGCATTGCACGTCGTGGTAATCGGTGTTCAGGCATACGTAACACGTGGCCCAACCATCTCAGTCGATGAAGATTCATAACCTCATCAACTGATTTACCATCATTCCCTAATACCCCGCGTCTAACCTCACTATTACTTACCCGGTGATCCCAGAAGACGCCAGCAATATTTCTAAGGCATCTGTGGTCAAATACTAATAGCTTACGAGTGTCTTCTACTCTTAATGGCCATGTTTCGCTGCCGTAAATTAAAACAGAACGGACTGCCGCGCAGTATACTCGTCCTTTTATTGATAGACGGATATCTCGCCTTCGCCATAGGTGACGCAAGTTGGCAAAAGCCAATCGAACTTTTCGAATCCGTGCTGAGATTTCGTCCGATACCAACCCATTAGGGCTGATCAGACTTCCAAGATAAGTGAAGTTGTCGACGCGTTCGACTACTTCACTCCCTATCCTTAGTTCAGGTGTTAACGCAGACCAGTCCTGAAGCAACAACTTGCATTTAGAGGGAGAGGAGCGCATTCCAGACATCCTGGCATTGTTGCTCAGTGCTACCAGAAGACTCTGCATTTTGTCAGCGTCTTCACCAAACAGGACTATGTCATCTGCGTATTCTAAATCGATAAGTGGACCTCCTGGTAGGAGATCAATACCCGAGAACTCAGTCGACGAGAAAGTTATTTCCATCAGTAGATCTATGATGAAGTTAAACAAAAATGGGGAAAGTGGACAGCCTTGACGGACACCACTTGAGGTTGCAAAAGTAGACGACAGTTCGCCATAAGCTCTGACCCGACTAGTAGTGTTCGAGTAAAGAGCCTTCACAAGGTTTATGTACTTCTGTGGTACGCCTTTCAATGACAGACACTGCCACAGAATCTCGCGGTCTACAGAGTCAAATGCTGCTTTTAAGTCGAGAAAGACCACCATTGTCGGAAGCCGATAAGTATGCCTGTGTTCTAGAATCTGACGAATGGTGAATATGTGGTCGATGCAGTCATGACCAGGTCTAAAACCAGCTTGGTTCTCTCGTGTTTGCAGTTCACGAGTCTTAGTTAGGCGTCTGATAATTATCGAGGCTAGTATTTTAGATATTATATTAGTTAAAATAATCCTTCTGTGGTTGTCACAGGATGATTTTGACCCTTTCTTATATATTGGGACGATAAGTGGTTGTGACCAGTTAGATGGAATAACGTCTAACTCCCAGATCTTAGCTAAAATATTAGTCAACCTAATCGCTAAAATTGGACCACCATCCTTAAAGACCTCTGGAGCCAATCAATCTGGACCAGCTGCCCTTCCTCGTTTCAGATTAACTATAGTCTTTTGAACTTCTGCTAGAGTTGGGGGACCTACTTCAATGTTCCATCCACACTGTCTGGGAATGGAGGGTAGTTGTAGAGTAGCGGAAGGCCAGCTGAACTATTTTCTGAAATGTTCCGCCCATCGTTCTAAACGTCTGGACTGAGAGCAGATGAGAGTATCGTCTTTTTCTGATATAATCTCACTTACACTTGACTTATTAATTCCAGTTTCTTTTATTAGTCTGTAAAGCTGTCTTGTGTTCCCTATAGTCGCCGCCTTTTACATCTCTTCTGCTTTCGTTGCCCACCACTGCTCACGGTCGTTTCTTAGACTTTTTCTTAACCTAGATCTGATTTGTTGTCGCTCTTCATCATGTTCAGAACCTGATGGGACGACTTTGCGAGAATCCATCAGTGTGATAGACTTTGAAGAAATCCACTGGTTCTTTGAAACTCTGTTGTTTAAGTCGCTAATAGATGTCACTGCTGCTTCCACAGCTGCTTGTATTTCATTCCAAGCAACATCTGGGTCAACCTCGTCTTCAGAACTACCTAATCGTGACCTTAGTTGTTCCTGGAACTTACTTTTGGTTTCCTCGCTACTCAGTTCGGTTCTAATGGGTCTTTTTACTGTGGCTTTTTTGCGTCCAGTGAGGCGCAAGCAGATGCGTGCCCGTATTAGGGCGTGGTCGGAGTCCAAGCAGGTACTCCAGAATGAGTGACAATCTTGTACCGACCCCCTCCAACGATGACTGATGGCAATATGGTCTATTTGAGTCCATCGCTGGTTTGGTGCAGGTGGTCGCCACGTTAGACGATGTCTCTCCTTATGCTTAAAATTTGTGTTTGCTAAAAATAAGCGATTGTCTGAGCACAGTTGCAGCAGACGGTCACCATTATCTGTTCGCTGTGCCGGAATACTAAAATACCCACCTAAATGCCTTTCTGTTTGGTTTAAGCTACCTATCTGAGCATTAAAGTCACCCCCTACGAGTACTATGTCTGAGCATTTAGCTTTCTGAAGAAGTTCGGACAGCTTTCTGTAAAATTCATCTTTTACATCATCTGAGCTGCAGTCAGTGGGAGCGTAGGCAGAAACGACGAAAAGGCAACGACGTATGTCCCTATCCTTCCGAGTTCTTACGGAGCCGTTTGACCGAACAGCACATAGACGACTGTTGACGGGGATCCATTCTAGCAGTGCTTGTTCCGCCCTCATGCTTAGTGCTATGGAAAGAGACTAGGGTTTTAGCCAAGGAAGCCTGCTGACCGATTTGACATAGAGTGCGTACGTTGAAAGCTCCAATGTGTAGTTTGGAGCGAGGTTTCAGTAGACCTGGGACAGAGTTTTGAGCACTAGAATCATTGGCTATGGTGACA